TGACTTTGAAGCCTCGACATCATAGGAGGCCAGTGCATGTAAGGTTAGAATTCTAATACATTTTAGACAGTGACAATAATTTAGAATTGTGAAATGAGCATCTTTGCAATAGTGTCTAGTCGATATGTTCACAAAGGAAGTACCATAGAGAGACATGGTATGCATGTTTATAACATGGCATGACTGATGTTATGTAATTCAAGTGGTAAGTTGATTATTCGAAACATTATAAAATGAATAGAGTCTTAATTATTGTGATGATTAAATAGTAAGAGTTTTATTTATATTCAATAAGTTTTTAGACCATAGTTAATTAATTTATTATTGTGTTTCACCTTGCATGTTTTACTTCCGGAATAATTTGATTATTCGAAATTCCACAGTCACTCGTACTTTTGGAAGTAAGTAGTGAATTAAGACTGTCATGAATTGAATTGTAGATTGTCTAAAGAGTTTTAGACATAACAATGGTATTTCTACAATATTCATGAGTACTTTGAAATTAAGATTTATGTATTGGATAAACCTACGCTCAAAGAATTTCTTTATGGAATTTATCACGAATAATTCTGAGACGGTAATATCTTATAATCTTAAAATGGAGATATATGAGTTGTAGTTTACAAGTTGATTGTGCATTGATAATACGTAAGTGCATTAGTACCTTGATGTTCTAAAACATATTGTCATGAATAATCTGATAAGTAAATGGTGCAAGCATATAAGTCAAAGTTTATTCGTTCCTTTTGCTCTAACACGAAAACTGATATCTTTGGGCCCCTCGTAGTTTTGGTGTTGACTTATATTATTGGGCCCAACAAGGACTAAATTGATGTGTTAAATTACAAGTCCTATAGCATCAAAAATCAGAAATCGGGAAACAAAGTCTTGGACAATGAGATTGATTCTACTCCATGTCTCATATCCGAATGATATATAGTTGAACGGAAGATTATATGATCACTTATCTTAGGGCTCATAACTGACTGTGTCAGAGTTCGGCAACAACTTTTGGAAACTACAATTTGCTGATCGATTCAAAAGTTACACTAGCAATTATAGTTATAGATTTATCTAAGTGGGCGACTATTAGATTAGGTATTTAAACCAATAACTAAAAATGGTATATACTTGAATTGATAGTAGCATAGTCCTTTTGGGTTGCCCTCAATCCTAGTAATTGGATAGTATGATTATATATATATATATATATATATATATATATATATATATATATATATATATATATATATATATATATATATATATAGAGAGAGAGAGAGAGAGAGAAAGTAATTTATTATGTGAATAATAAATTAAATAAATAGTTTATTAATGTGTTATGAAAATAATATATTAATTAGAAATCATATTCTTTAATTAATAATTAATCATAAATTAATTGGAATTAATTGGATTAATTAAATGCACAGAACTGTTTGATTATTTATTGATAGTTGAGAAAGGAAGGCTCTAGAACCACATGGAATGAGGTGGACGAAAATATTTAGGGAAAGCTTAGGAGATTTTGTCCAATGCCCTAGTATAAGGGATTGGGCCGCTTGGTCACCAAGCAAAGGGATCTAGGACATATCCCATAAGCCCTAACTTTGACAACAAGTTTCATCAACTCCTATCCGCTTGATTTCGTGACTCACTCTATTCCTAAGGCTTGGATGAAATCTTGCCTCCCATCTCCTCTCTTTTATATTATCCTCTTGCTAGCTTGGGTGTGATTTTATTAAAGGCACGACACTTGTTGTGCTTGCGTCCAAGAGATCAACAAAGAGGAATTCTAGTTGTTTTCTATAACAACTAAAAGGTATGTAATTCTAAAACCCTCTCATGTCAATTTCAAAAATACCCTAGGTTTTCCAGGTTTCTTTTTGATGTTCTTAGTTATAGGTTTGATAGAGAAAACATAGATCCTATTTAGGTTACATGCAAACTTAAGGGTTTTAATTTTGTTTGTTTACCTAAATTCCATCAGTGTCCTATATCTCATGATCCGCTGAATCATTTGAGCATAACCCGTAAGCTAATAGTTATAACAATGTTTATGGTTGACTCATATATATATTGTCAGGTTTGTGTTTCTGGAAAGGGTTATTTTTGTCGTTTAATATATATATATATATATATATATATATATATATATATATATATATATATATTATCGATGGTTATCCAATCTCATTATACTAATGAGAATCAATGGCTATGATAAGTTTCATCACCTAACGAACCACTAACAATGACAGTGGCAACATCGTTTCTTCTCTGCTGATCTCTACAACCACTGACGATGTTTTATTTAACATTGAAGTTGTGCCATAGACCGATATGACTCTTGAATTATCAACCCATAATTTAAAATAGCCCCTTGAAAGCTGTCACACCATTTTTTTTGTACTCATTAACTACTTGGGCAGCTACAACTTAATCAATGAATGAGATTAAACTTATCTTATTGGGAACCCTAATCTCTCCGTCTCCTTTAATTTAATTTTTTTGAAGTATCAAAATTTTCACAATTCCTTAAAGAATGTTTGGCAATCTTGGCAATAACCCCTAAGCGAACTTCTACATGGCATCCTTCTCTTATCTTACAAAGTCAATCTCAATCCTTGCTTCAATAACACCTCTTTCTCCAGTCACCATCAAGAATTCCAACGAAACTCCAAACTTTGAAATACTTTCAACAGTTGTTGGCACCTTATTCAAAGATCTTATTTAATATTTCTAATCCACTCCCCTCACCACGACATTAATGAAGAAATCTATTGGCATCAATGAACATGACCTGTGTGAACATGTTATAAACATTTGTGATACATCTCTTTGTAATTAATCAAACAAGGATGCATTTCATGTGTGTCCACTACATCACTTCGACGGGGTTTTTAACGGTCGATTGCCTCGACGGCCTATGAAGGAGGAATTTTTAGGATTGGTGCCCAACTTTGATGAATTCTATAGGTATCATCTTGTTATTTTTTAAATATAATTATTAATCCTTTTATGTATGTAATTATGTATTTTTTTTATTAGTTTTGCAGAGATTCTTGGGGCAGGATAACTTTGGGAACACTTGTACTGCAAATAAACATGGTAACTGGAACTCTTCATTAACTTCTTCATCTTGTCAAAGTAAAAAATCCAAACCACAAAAGTTAACATATAGACTAAGCGGATTTTTATTTTCCTTTAAGGTGGTAGTGCTTTTTATAGCAATATTATCTTCTTAAAATTTTATTTTTTCTAATACTATGATACATAATTTTGTCAAATATAGAGTTAAAGAATTTTTCCAGTTAGAATTTTGTTACATACCCAACAACCAAATCTGATACCCCAAGCCATTGCATGGTCTAAGCTTACTTAGTTACAAAATAATCAGTGCATCAAGTATATAAATTTTCCATTTTCAGCACTATGTATCATCATGTTAATAATTAATTTAAAATTGTATTAGGGGTAATCACCCTATAGAAAAGATAGAGTCGACACTAGATAAGAGTCGTTCTTCCTGGTGGTCTTATATCTTCGTTTTGATTTAATGTGACGATTTACATCGGTCACCCATTCCCACGACACCATCTTTTATACCATCACATCATTGGTCACCTCATTATAAGCGCTACACAGGAAGACACAATGAGATGATACTAGAGTTGCAAAAACAACTTCAAGAAGATAAGAGGTTGTTGCTCGCACATGTCATGCGTATGTATGGCATGAAAAAACAATTAGGGCTACTTGTAGACACTTTCATAGGGAAGTATGATACACGCTATAATAAGCTTACCACAGATGATGATGGCACATTCCATAGGTTAGAGGTACATTTTTAATTTTATTTATCATATACTGATTATTGCATCATTGATTATTTAATAGTATGAAACGGTTACCTTATTAAGGGCGACACGGTGCTCGTATATATTGGATTTCCATAGATGGTCATGGTATGTCAAAGGATGACTTTTGGTCACACAGGTTTAAGGTACAGATTTAATAAGATATGTGATATATACTGATTGTTCTATTGTTGAATGTTAAATTGTAGATAACCTTATCTTTATGTAGGGTGTCATTGTTAATCCAGAGAAACTACATGATGAAGGACCTAAGCGTGCATTCGTGTCTGATTACCAAAAGCCACCATTAGCATATAGCTAGGCATATGCAACAAGCGACATATTTTTCTCGATATGGTTGAAGTCTGTGTAGACTTAGATACAAAGGAAAGACGTCACATTCGTATGCACACCACTATTAGACGATTGTAAAGATGATAACATTAAACCATGATGCTTCGTTATTTTTTGTTCACCGATTTCTCATATATAAATCGATGATGGAGTTTTTGATGGATAAATATGAGGAATTTTACAACAGCAGGTTGAAATGTCTTGTAGTTTTATATGTATGCTATCATTACATACTAAACATTTAGTTATGTTACTCTATTAATTACATGTGTTGATCAACAACACATCATGCTCTGGATTTCGATGCTTCTAGAGTGAAGGACATATCATGCTCGGTGGACATTTCTTCAAACTTTCAACATGGATGTAAAGGATTGGCATGACTTGGATGATATATGCATTTACCTACGTAATAGTCACTTATAACAAAATGTTACATGATGATTTGTTATTTTTGATCTTTTGTGCAACTATACATCCCCATTAGTATAACGATTACACACTAGTTTTTAGGGGTTTTGGATTTCCGGACGATCACTATCCTATGTACGATAATTACTTATCTACCAGCTATTTTCAAAATATTTATTTCACTTATAGATATGTGATCCTGTATCCACAAACTCGTAGTGGCTATCAACTATTGGGGTATTAAACTAACCGACGTAATCCCCCTCGAGAGTTTTATACTCACCCTTGTGAATGTCGATGACTAACCACAATAGTCTGATGATAAAGTGATTGTGAAGTTTTCTTATGTTGTTGTTTGGAGAGGTTGATCATTGGTCACATCACGTGAGCATAGATTGTTGCACCAAGACCTGGACCAACTCATATTGAAGGCAATTTGCAAAGATTCCATAGAGTACATATCAAAAGTAAGTGTCTATTTGCACATTTATTATTATTTGAACACATCTAAATTTTTATAATTATTATTTTTTGTAGTGTATATTTTGTTTCATGACATTCCAAAGTTATTTGTTTTTGCAATACAGGTTTTGTTTCATATGGAAAATACATTGTCATTTAAGTTATAATCTAACCAAATGACCTTAGATCTAGTGGTAAGAAGGTCATGGTATAAAGTCTCACTAGGAGACACAGATGCTGTTAGAAATAGTTGCCGTTTCAAAAAGAAATTTTTGATTATAATAGTTATAAATAACAATAAAACCAACCATTAATTGAAATTAGACTAAAAACATAAACACAAAATAACCAAATAAACATAAACTTATAAATAAACGACTATGAAAACAAAAAGAAAGGATAATAAAATCATTTAATGTGAACTATATATTGACCTTTTAAAATGGGCTATTGACTATCCCCATTTCAAAGTGTGATCTGAAATCTTAGCTTATATTAAGTTGTTCATTTTACAAAAATAAATAAATAAAATAAAAGTTACTTTTGTCGAAACGAATTGGTTAATTTATTTAATTTTCTTAAAAAAATATTTTACTAAGCAACTATTTTTTTTTATTATTATTTTTGTACATATGAAGGCAACCAGTTATCCACGACTTCTAATGTGCCACCCTTTCACTATTTTAACTTTCCAATAGTTGTAAATTTGCTAAAAAGAGGGGCAAATGTGATAGTATTTAACTTGAAGATAGTAATCTTAAAAAACGTACCTTCACAATGACCCAAAGTAGTCGTGCCGCCGGAGCAAAAACACATGAACTCCGTCGTATTGCTATTGTAACCGCACCGCCCAAAGGAAGTTTCACACTTTTTGCAATTCCCCATTCTCTCCCATGCGAGCTCGAATCCTCCCCTCAAGGCTTCGATGAACTCTATCCCCAGCAATCTTTCTGGCCCAAGTTCATGATCCAACACCGTCGCTACAACAGCATCGTCATCACATGAGTACTCATCCCAACTGAAATTCGCTGGCTCGGAGTTCACTTTATTAACGCACGACTTACTACTCGCGGAACTCAGACACGGGATTTCATGTGCAAAAGGCGGAACTCCGGTACAATTAAAGTGAACACGTAGGTTAACATTCTGATCCGTAAAAAGGAAAGGCAAAGTTCCGATTGAAATGTTATGGCGCACCATGGGGCAGTCGACGATCGGGACGGTGGCAGAAACGTCGTAGTCTACAAGGACAATAGTCTTTGGTTCGTAGAGTATATAAGGGAATTCCAGTATTTGATCACCGTAAAATATATTTTGGATATAGTAAGAATCGTTTCCCAAATTAATAGTTGGAATATCCTGTTGATCACCGTCTTTAGAGCAATTGATTCCAAAACCAGGGTAACCGCAGAACCGGGTGGAGGTTTCACTGCCGATCCTCCAAAAAGGGTAGCTGATATTGATGTTCCCGCAGTTGTATGAAGGGCAGCTGGGGTAAATTGAATAATTGAACTGAGCAGCCATGGAAATGAAGAAGAAGGGTAAGAGGAGGAGAGACAGTGAAAGAGAGTGGAAAAGGTCGGACATGGTTATTGGAATGTTGTAACAATAACTAAAAAAAATACTGGATTATATTTATAACAAATCATATACGTAATTGGCACCTGCCTCTAAGTTTTCTATTGGGTTGGACAAAACACAAAATAAAAGTAGTCGCATAATAACTTTACTAGATAAAAAGAAAACACTCCATCGTTTAAAAAAAAAAAACTTATTTAACTTAAAATATTATATTTTGAATTGTATAATGATCATGAATAACTTTATTTTGTGAATTATAGTATATGTACTCTCAGCAAACATGGTAGTCATAAGCTTCGTTTACGTTATGAATATGGTTTTTTTAAAAACTTATTATCATTACAACTAGATGAGATTTATATGGGCGTCATGTAGTACGCCTTGGCTGTTTTAACATTATTTTTAAATAAATCCATGATTTGTATATACTATAATTTAATTTTAAAAAGTGGAACCTTATTTTTTTCAAGTTTATAAGTTGACGTAGATTGTATACAAAAATAAAAAAATAAAAAAAAAATAAAAAAATAATAATAATAAAAAAATTACAACGAAGAGTGTGCCAGTGAGAACCATGCTAAATAATATTTGACCAAAAAATTGGATGCATAATAAATATCTCACTCGTATTAGGCAAATGAAGCCGTATTCTTTACTACATATAATAAAGTATTATGAATTAGAAGTCTTTCCTATAAGAAATCAACCTTATCGGAAGCCACCTGTTACACACAAGACAAAGACCGAATAATAAGTCTTCTCCCAAATTCTTATTGGTTTCTCGGAAACCACATGTTACAAACAAGATAAAGAGTGAATAATAAGTTTTTCTCCCAAATTCTTCCTTGCTGTTTCTGTACGGCCACTGTTTACAAGCAGTTTAGGTAAATTATTTTTTATTTAAACTCTTTTACTCTTTCCTTAGAATCTGGAAATTTTTTGGTTGAAATTATGAACAAAAATAAACATCAACTAAGAATTAAAAAGCTCTATAACCAATTATTTCCATAAAACAAAGAAGTTAGCATCATTTTAAATTAATCATCGTCCATATAATCTATTTTCATACAAATTTATGTTACACATTATAAGATATTCACGTTATTGTTTGAACACCTTAGTACAATTTACCATTGACTAAAGACAAAACCAATCAATATAATAGTAGGGTAGGTGAGGCTGTACGGATTATAAAAAATAATATGAGTTTTATCAATAAATTTTAAGCATATATCAAAAATTCCTATATTGATCAATTATCTTACATGTCGATAAGTTTGTATTTTGGAGCTCCTAAACACCTAGATAACATAGTGATTTGGAGCTCCGAAATTTAAACTTATTGACATGTAAAGTAATTGATCCATGCATGAATTATTCGTATATGCTTAAGATTTAACGATGAAACTCATATTCTTCTTATAATTTGTATAATCTCACCTAACCTATTATTATATTGATTGGTTTGTTATTAGTCGATTGTTTCTTATATGAAAATAACAGTTGGTTTTCCTTTAACTTACTGTTAGGTAGATTGTACTAAGGTGTTTGAAGGTTTGTATTAATCGAACACAATCAAGTGTAAGAAACAACAAACAAACAAACAATGTAAAAAATTAAATAGAAAAAGTAAAGAACACAAAAATTTCTCCAAATTGTCTTTCACCAAGAAAAGATTTGTTTTCACCAAGAAAACGGGTTGTCACAAAGACGGTCACCAAGACATGACGACTCAAGGCTGTTTTACATTTGGGTTTCACCCTAAGTATATATACCAAACTAATCTAGTGAATCCCTTGATTAAAATAATTGTATATAATCTACATATAAACAGATCCTTATCACCAAGATATCAGTTCTGTTATCTATTCTATATTTACAGAGTACAACTACCTAATATTCAAACAATATCTTCCTATAATATACAAAGATCACAAAGATCATGAGATCACGCTAATGCTAATCATTCTGGAACTGATGCTAACGTTTGCGTTGGTCAGCATGTAATTGTGTTTGACTCATCAGATCATAATATATGACCTTACAATCTCTCCCTATCCGATGATATCAAAACTAATCTCCAACGAATGTTTTTGGCTCGTGCTCCCACTGAGAGTAAGAATGAAATCTTAACTCTTGCAATTTTGACCAATGCTCCCCCTACGAAGATGAATGACTCATCAAACATTTATAAATTGCAGCAGACGACGAACGAATAGATAATGAGCTTGAGCTAAGCTGAAAACGTTGGCATCAACTTGTGTAACGACCCAAAAGGTCTTTCTTTAACGATGTTAGTGTTTTGTTACAAGATTATTAAGCGAAGTAAAGTAAGTTCGATTCTAAGAGTGTAGAATGAAATAAATTTAATAAAAAATGGTGTTATTTAATATCTATATGAATTATTCTATATTTAAGAGGAATGTAAGTTAATTAAATTAATTTAGGGTAACTTCTAGTTATAAAAGGTGTAAATGGTATGGAGGGGCTAAGTTCTCAATAAAAGAAATTTAATTTGCCGATAATCTAGAGTTAGGGGGAATGGAATACAAAGTTGGGTATGTGAGGGGTTTAGTTGTAAAAATGGAATGTAACAGTCTTGAGTTTGATCGATTAGGCTTTCCTTGCGTTTGTTTTCCTTGGCTCCCACGGTCAAAAGTAATTGGCCTAAAGTCTTTGGGGTTGTGTCACGCATCAAAGGCAAAGCCAAAAAAAGGTGGCAATGCAGCGTACATGTTGAAGCCCACACATGATCGTTGTCATATCTGGTGCTCGACATCCGACAGCAACAAGGTAGGAGGCAGCGATGACGTGAAGGAGGAACAAGAGAAAAAAAACGATTGAGCAAGGAGGAGGATTCATTAGAGGTGGTAGAGGTTTATTTATTAGAATAAGTGGATGTAACTGATTACTTCCAGATGGTGATGGGTATGGATTATTCCTATGAAGAGGAGGGTGTTGATCATTACCTGGAGAGCTAGGAGGAGTGTCTTCAATCATTATATAATCATCATTTACCAGAGCCATTATACATTTGATGTCAGCCACATCTTTGGTACTTTGATTAGTCTTTCTCCAATAAATTGAGTCATCTGAACCAATAAGGATAGTTGGGAGAGCAACATAGTTTTAAGTTGGAATTAGACTTCCCCTGAAAGGTAGCATAAGTAGGCATAGGAATTGGCATTTGGGGAACAGTTGCAGCTTAAGGGGAAGGAGATGCTGATCTTAGAGAATTTGCATCTTGAATCAGTGGATTAGTAGTTTCCAGTTGAGGTGGGTTTGATCCACGTTCTACTATATCTTCTGCATAAGGAGTTGTTGATGAAGTTAAAAAAATAAAAAATAAAAAATAAACAAACAAATGACAAGAATAGTTCAACATACTAATAAAACCTTGAATTTTAATATATGATGAAATCACAGGGATGGGAGGGAGGCGAGGAAGAGGTAAACTTACATGTTCCCTGTTGAGTTTAATGTACTATAAGACTCTTATGGTGAACATTAAACCCTAAATGCTTTGGATCTAAGTTTTCCCTAGTTATACATGCAACGAAAATTATCCAAAGCATGAAACCTATAACTAGCATACAACATAGATATTTGAAACATAAAAACTAGTTAGAAGATTACCTCTTAGTTGTAGCTTGTGGAATTTTGGCCTTTCAAGATCTTAGCACCTCAAGTGTGATGCCTCAAACAAGTTACAAACACCATGAACAAGTGAAGGATAAGAGAGAGGCTATGAAGCATACAAAATCAGCTAGGGTTTAACCGTGGAGTACTAGTGGCCAATTTTGCAAGCTTAGGGGTTCAATATATAGTTTTGAATTCCTAGGGTTTCAACTTGTAAACCCTAATTCACTTGGTTGGGCCTTTAATCCAAAATCGGCTGGGGTTTAACCGTGGAGTAACAGTCTCCCACTTAGATAAGTCTAACAACTATAATTTCCAATGTAACTTCAAAATCCGATTAGCAATTGTAGCTCTCAAAAAGCCGTTGTCGAACTCTGACCTAGTCAATGACGTGTCCATTAGATAAGGGATCATATATTCCTCCATTCTAGATATCGTATGAATTGAGACATGGATTATAATCATTTTCTCTGTTCATGTGTTGTTTCCCGATTTCCGATTTATGACGACTGACTAATTCAACAAATCAAATCAGTCCAGGCTTCGCCAAGCGCTTAGGGTTCTTATCAATAAATCATCAAGGGGCCCACAAATATCGCTTGTATCCCTCTTAGGGTAAATGGAACGGATAAACTTCGACTCATATACTTGCTCTATTTACTCATCAAAGTAAGGACCATAGGTAAACACCAAGTTACCAGTGAGTTTACATATCATCAATGTGCAACCGACTTGTAAACTGCAACTATATGTCTCTGTTGCAAGAATATAAGATATTATTATCTCACAATTACTCGTGATAAAATCCATGAAGTGATTAAATGAGTGTGGGTTTAATCCAATACTCAAATCTTATTTCAAGAGTACTCAAAAATATTGTAGCAAACTTTTGCTATGTCTAACACCTTAGACAATCTTACAAAAACTCATTCATGATAGTCTTATCTCATTACCTACTTCCAAAGTATGATTGACTGTGGATGTTTGAATAATCTTATTATTCGCGAAGTCAAAACGTGCAAATTGAAGCACAAGAATAATTTAATCCAATATGGTTTCAAAACTTTTGAATATAAATAAAATGCTTATTATTTAATCACCATATTGATTATACATTACTCATTGTATAATGTTTCGATTAGTCAACCTAATACTTGAACTAAAAAAATAGTTATCCCATTCTCTAAGCATGCAAACTATGTTTACCTATGGTCCTTACTTTGTGAAATAGATCAATTGAAAACATTTCAATGATGCTCATTTCACAATTCCAAATCCTTACCTAATTCTTGCCACTATAAGAGTGTGTTAGATTCTAAACTTCATGCGATGATTCCTTTTGTAATATCGAGGTACAAAAGTCAAAG